CGAATGGATCGATATCAAATGGTGTATGTCAGAGGGATATGTGGGTTCCTGCGTGCTTAATTGGATTCTAATTACCATGACGTTCAACCACATATCTAAAAGAAAAGCTAAAGAACAAGCCAGCAGCCCCAGCCCCTGATCTGCTCTGAATTTTATTCCATCGAAGCAAAGAGTGATAAGCATGCAATGACAGCTTTTACTCTTATAAGGGGCCGGTTTACTCCATGAGATGAGACAGACATAACTTCGTGGCGTCTCTGATGATCGATCATCACTCAAATTAAGCTATATAAATTATAAAACACCTTCAATTAATTCATTACTGCAGCACCTACGTTCCTCTCTACATGTAATTAAACCGGAACGTCTCAATGAATTTTTACTCCTACTAGCTAGCTAGATCCTAGATCGATTTGCACCGTGGGAAGGAACAATTAATTAATATTAGAAAAGAGAAAAAGGAAATAACAAATAAATCCAAAGTCCAAACAAGAGGAATTGGAATGGGGACCAAGACATCATTCACCTTTTCTGTGAAATCATGCCCCTCCCTGACCTTATATTGAATGATATGATCGATGCTATCCCTTCTCTTTTCCCCACCTTCAAGAGGCAATTATTAGTGGTTAGTACATTTCGTAAGGTAAAATTAGCCACTAACTAGCCAATGAATTAGATTGGATTAGTTCGTCCAAGCCGGCCTTTATTGGTGAGACAAGCCTAATTAACTCACTCATCTTGGACGATGACCAACACAACAAATTAAGCTATAGCGCTACATATATCGGCCCCTTGGTTCGCTGCTGGGAGTTTTACAATTTCGGTCTCCCATTAATTAACATCCTACCTACTTAGTTCTCTGTCTAGGACGCCCGGAATAAAGCAGGTGGCCACAACTCCATACATTGTCGTGTAATGTGAAACAGTCAGAGGGGAGACCTCAAACGTAACAGAGCCAGCATGTTATGCCTCAACTCTCAAGGGATGATGGCCTACAGGTACGTAGAGAAGCCGGAGTTCCCAACATGCATCAATGAAAAAATAGATCATGAGCTAATTAATTAAGAAAACAAGTGGTTAAAGGACAAATTGGTGGCTTTCAGTGTCAGCCCAACATTGGCGATCGTTTGTATATATGATGAACATATACATGCTTTGTAGTTTTTTCACCAGAAGTATATTATGATAAAAATAAACAGATCAAATAATATTATTGTGTGGTGATTGAGGGGCATCGATTCCATTCTATGATAAAAGGAGTAGACCCCTAATTAGTTATATTACTTTGTTAGTCGAATTGTACAAGGCAAATGTACCCTTGCCTATCAATTGTCATCCTTTATTAACAGGGGTATCTTTCGTCTTTTTAAGTGGAGTTGTCCCTTCTATGTATCAAACTAGGACGTGCCACTCCCCAAATCCACGCCCTTCTCAGTAGCCATAAAGAAAAATTTCAGTCCCGGCACTTCTTTTATGGGTTTTGAGTACCAAGATATATCCTCCTCGATTAGAGGTATAATTGATGGTTTGCCTAACCTTTTTGTCCTTTTGACCATCATCCATCATCTCCTAGCCTTCATTATGTATATAATCCACTCCCTACTCAATTGTGAACCTATATATCTACCTACTTTGTAGAGGCACAAAATCAATTTACCAACGTTGGTCGGGTCAAACATCTCTCTCTCTCTCTAACATGTTAAAACATGTGGGGCATAAGGGCTTTACCATTAAATCATAGTATAAACAAAAGCAAGGGTTAATCTTAATTCATCACTAAGGCTCACAGATATATATATACATATATATATATATATATATATGCTATATCTACTGTACGTGGAGGGTGATGCAATGAAGGAGTAGGACATAAAATAAAACCAATCGACCCAATCAAAACTTATAACCAATTCAAGAGACAAACCATATATATAAGTTGCATATATTAGTCACAAATTTACAACAACACTTTATTATATATCAAACTAAAAGTGACAACGGGCGGGAGATAGAGATTACTGCAGCAAAAAACGTTTTAAAGCATGCACATAACAATTAACAAATAGTTTAACTCATTCGTGTGTGAAGATGAGTGCATATGATATTTAAAACTGAAATAATTAAAGCATATAAGCCATAATCTAAACAATGTGGACACAAACAATACCTTATATTACAACTGAACCGGCCTGACCAACAAGAGGTTCAGGTTGGGTTCTAGCTGGCAAATCCAGAAGCCAGTGACGAGAAAACAGATTCAAATAACCGCTGCAACCAAATGGATCTTATAAGTAGAACTAGTGGCTCAACCAGCCCCGCTGCAACTCTTATGATTTTCTGTGGCTATGATCCAACCAATAAGAAAAGTAAGAAATGCATATATATATGGTGCTTTTTGATTTGGGATGATCGCTAGCTGCCTGTACAAAGCAACAATATATTCTTTTACTCTTTAATTCTTTATGTTAGATATATAACGATTAAGTTATTAATGGGCAGAACAGCTAGACATAGAAAGTATGTTAGACATTAGATATAGAAATGTATAAAAGCTAAGATATATAACAATGAAATGAAGCACAGGTTAGTTAGGCCGAGTGAATGTTGAGGTGCGTGCATATCTAACTGGTTATCTCAAATATCCATTCTAATCAGATTCCAAGAAATGCCTGAGAATCTGCCACATTTATATGATTGAGCACATGTGGGAGAATGTGATGTCTCAGAACTCACAGGAAGGGCATGGAATCTGGGTCTCTCTATCTTTCCTTGCATCTTCCTGGCCTAATTTTGATTTTTGGGTTTTGGTTGTATGTGTGTATGTGAATGAGAGAGAGAGAGAGAGAGAGCAACTGAGCAAGGACGTCTCAAAAGCGAAAGCTGCCGTGGAAACAGAGAGAACATCTCACGCCTATCCATGTGGGCATCAACATGTACATACACTTGGGCTTGGATTTCCGAGCCCTCCTTCGACTGCTCTTCTTCTTCGTACAACCACGCACAACAATAACAATTCTACTTTCTTTTTCTTTTCCCCCTCCTGTTATGACTTGTTTCTTTTCCTTTCTTTCCTCCGCAATTGCAAGAGATGGATACATCGACGACAGTTTTAGGATCTCTACATCAGATTAACAGTACCATCTACTGTACACTGGTATACGAACGACCGACCGACCAACCAACAAACGAGCCTCCATGACTGTTTCAGTGACAATAACCAAGAGAGAGAGAGTGTGTGTGTGTGAGGAGGTGTTTGCTTTTTTGACGGCTCGTTTATTGTGTTTGGATTGCTTCGCTTTATTCGTTCTCACTAAGCAGCAGCCTTGGTCCTTGCAAAAGCAAATCCCAACCCAGATTCCTTTCTTTAATTTCCAGACGACCAGATGAAGTGGATTATTATAGTATACAACTACCAACTTCTAGCAAATAAAACGCGTGTAGTCATTGAAGCCAGATACACATTTTTACTTACATGGGAATGGGAGCGGCTCACTTCAAATTCAAACTGATTAATCGATATTTGAAATAATTAGATTATTATCTGAAACCCAAATTAAAATGATGGGTGACTGATGATCGAATCGGAGAACACACATGGGAAAAGTTCCGTGAGCCCCACATTGTTTATTATGATATATTGTCCAGAAAAGTTGATTATTTTCCATTTTATTAATTTTGGAGCCAACGTGGGAGAAACACCGTGGCCGGGGGTCCACACGGACTGTGTTCCTTCCTGTGACTGTGAGTGCTCCCATCCCATCTGATAATCGCCTCGCCATGGAAACATGAATTGATGAATCAAAGATGAACTACATGGAAGTAAAAAACGAGGGAGTCAAGTCAGACTTTCAGTTATTCTTCTCCGCTGCTATGGCTATATTCTTTTGACTCTCCGGTATCTTAGGTTATTCTTCTCCCAACGAAATCCAAGAATTCTTCTTGCTCGAACGCGGCCGCCTTCTGATTTTCTGATTGCATGGATTTGAGTGGGATTTTGGCGTTTTTTAAATTCTGGGATGTTACTCGCATTTCTCTATCCAGCATCTGTAACTCAGTTCGCAAGATCTCACATCTCAACTCTCCAGAAACAACAAACATTTTAAATGATTAATTTTCTATCCAGTACATTTTCTGTTCTCCCAATAAAAACAAAAACAACAAAAAAAAAAACCCAAATATGTACGTCAAATATTATCATTGCAGTTTTGGAAGCTTGTTATTATTACGAAATCATTAAATCTCTATTGGGCGCGGACGCGTGCAATGCTGCAACATACTACGTACATGCCTATGCACAAACTTGCATGCAATGGGGAAAACGGTTTCTTCCACAGATGAAACGATAACTAACCGGTCTTCTGATCAATGGATATACCCATGGAATTCGAATTCGCCTGAGATCATTTTTTTTCCCTTCCCCCCTTACAAGCATGCATGTACTCGTCTAAGACGCCAGATGTTGAGCCATTAGAACCCAAAAAAATGGTTGAGCATGACACACACACACACAGGGGGAGAGAGAGAGAGAGAGAGAGAGAGGTCTTTCATTGTATATATGACTAATCAGTGTAGTAGTCAGTAGGAACATTGACCAGTCAATTGACCACTACAGTAGGACTGTAGGAGCTCTGCTACAACCTTCAGGAGACTGTAATATTTGAGATTTTGTAGCCATTCGACTTGGTCTGACGAGAGAAACAAACTCTCCATGATTCTAGTTTTCGTGATGAGAAGTCACACAAATCACTGGCAACTGAAAGTGTAGACTTTGCAACTGAGCATATAACAGTTGACAACAGAAATGACTGGACAAATTTTAGCTCATACATAATTGAAGCCTCTTCAATCACATGAACCCTGGGTTTTCTTTTACAGCCTCTAAATGCTAAATTTATCAGTAGTTTCATCCATGAGGGTTGGAGATGAGTGGGGTTAGTTATGCAAGTACGCCGAGATCAATGTTAATGAATTTTGTCAACTTCATGCAAGTAATGCTAATGTAGAGAAGAAGAGGACTGAGATAGATTTATCACAAAAAGAACTTCAACAGAAATCTCTCATTACAGTGCTTTGATCAATTCTAACAACTAGCCCTTCATGTCAGATATCAAAAACCCTGAACTCATTCACCAACTCCTGTAAACATGCCAATAGAATACACAAAAAAATAAACAAAAGCAAATAAATTAAAAAAAAAAAAAAAGAAAGTCTACCATTTCTAGGTTCTTCAGTAGATCATGAAGAGACAGGTTCCTTCCTGGATCCTTTTTTTTTCCTTCTTTTTGCTCTTCAACCATCTTGGATTTTTGATGTTGGAACAACCAAGTTAATAAGGTGATCGAATGGAACTTTTCTCTTCAAGTCTGATTTTCTTTAGTTGATGTTGTACTAACTAATGGAGAAAGAAAAACGAGGCAAGATTTTTGGAGATCGAAAGGGATTGGAATTATAAGAGATGGCCGGTGGAAGAAGAATTGAAACCGGAGAGATCTGTCCATGCATTTCCGCCCAAGTACTGATCATTTCCTGGAATACCCAAAAACTGCCTTGATAAATTCAACCCATGATTTTCCTCCATTTTCACTGAAGCTAGTTGAGTAACACCAGAACCCGACGGCTTAGTCCGAACCTGGGAGTGAGAGACGACTCCACCATATGCGGATGGCTCAACACCTTCTCCTTCGAATGGATATAACCCCGCATGTGGCTCCAAACCAGTTAGAAAAGGGAATTGATGCACTTGCGGCAACCTCCATTGCTCGGCACCTCCAGATGATAACATGGAGCTGCCAGCACCTGAATTACTTCCTATCTGGAAATCCATGTCGGTCCCACCACCGCCCCCTGTTGCCGCCATTGGTGGCTGGATTCCTCCAAAGTTTAAGCCGATGTCGGCCGCAGTGTAGTCAGTAAGATGATGTAAAGAGGTCATAAACGGTAATTGTGGTGGCGGGGGTGGTGGTATATGGCCTATCATATCAGTGGTGCAGCTATTTGTTGAGATTGCACCTGTTGAACCAGCACCAGTCTGACGTTCACCAGTGACCGGTGATTTTGAGCTGCTACCCTTGCTTCTCTTGTTCCTCCTGCAACCCCCGCCCACAGGAACATTTCTCAGCGCACCTCCTCTTGTCCAGTATCGTCGACAGGTTTTGCAGAAGTGGCGAGGCTGTGAGAGGCTGTAATTGTTGAAGTAACAAAACTTTGTATTGGTCGATTCACATCGTGGGCACTTCAGGGATGCCTCCGGCTGTGGCAGCTTGGCCAGACGGGCACGATCAGCCATCGAACCAGGCCTAATTGAGCCTGAGCCACCACCTGCCGGAGGCGGCGGTGGTGGCGGAAGCTGGGGATTCTCGGTGCTATTTCCAGATTGATGATTTTGTTGCTGTAAAACACAAAAGCAAAAAAACAAATCTGGTATATTCAACAAGAGCTAACAAAAGGGTAGGAATATATCTTTAAAAATGCTTTTTTGGCGAAGAAGCTATGGAAAGAAATTGAAGAAACCTTACCTGCTGCCAGTTGGGTGGATAGAGCGGAACCGAAGAAAAAACCATGGTTTTTGATCTTTCTCTTTTGTAAAGGTTGATGAGTTTTTGGAGATATGGTGGAGAATCACATCAACGAGAGAGTTGCAGAGAGAGAAGAGAGAGAAAGAAAGGGAAGGAGAAGGAAAGATAAAGGGGGGCTTTTATTTATTTTGTTATTGCTCTCACTCTCTCTCCTCTCTCTCTTTTTGTTTTATTATTTTTTAGGGTTTTGAGGATGGGAAGTTTCTTAACCTGTAAGCTTTGTGATGCTATGGTGCAGTACTCGCGAGGAAAAAAAAAAGAGTTTGAGGCTCCCATGCATGTAAAGTTGGATGAGAGAGAGATGAAACCCTAAGATAACATTTATATTAATAAATAAAATAGAAAATAATTGGTTAGAAAAAGAAAAAGGTAAGCTTGGTGGTGTGGAAGAGTCACGATCGAATGTACCTTTATTTTTCTCCGGTCAGTTTCCGGCTGATATTTTTAGGGAAATTTGAATTGATGATCTGGTAATTCAGATACATAATTACTAAATCACCCTCGACCACACTGTACTCTATCCTATTCGATGTTTTATGACGACTGTGCTGTGCTGCACCAAACTCAGCGAACCCAATCCTGTATTTATGTATAAAACAGATTTTTCTCAATATACGTTGATGTTGGTTGGAGAATACCATAGTTTATTTAATCCGACATAACACTAACAAAACCGGCTGAAAATTGGGTGTTGGAATCGTAAACCAAAGCGCTAGGAGGAGATAGTGATCATCACCTTCTGCGATCAATTAAAATCAAATTATTCTGAAAACTGCTTTTGCTACGAGTGAACGATCATGCATTTGAAAGCTGGCTCGCGCTAGCTGAAGAGAATGTATGATCGCTAGTAGTGTGTTGATCAGCGAGAACTAATTAATTTTTTATCAGCTAGTGGGGGCCGATGGATCACACATGTTTTATCTAGACTTACCGTGTGTAGGCCGGGCTGGGCTGGGCTTGGGTCGGATTTTCATTCTGTATTAACAGATTTTTTTAAGGTCCGAGTCCAAACCTGGTCCGATCATTGGGCCTACAATTTGGGCTTGAGCCCGGCCCTTATAAAAAGCCCGAAGCCTGGGCTTGGGCCCTTGCCCGAAATTTAACCCACATGCTGTTACTACTGCTGAAGTAATTGAATAGAGAGAGAAATTATAAAGAAAAAAATAAAAAATGTATATATTAAATTATAAATATATATTTTAATAAATATTATATTATTTATATATTTTATATAATATATAATATACATTATGTATTTTATAAAATATATAATGCTGAATCAGGCCAGGCCGGACTTTTTTGACAAATCCCAAGCCCGGCCCGAAACACAGTCGGACTTATTGTACTAGGCCCGAGGTCAGGCCCACGGGCCTAATTACATGACCAAGCCCGACCGGGGTGCAGGCCGGGCCATCGGGCTACCGGGCCCATGAACAGGTCTACGTGTGATCATCACTTGTAGATTTGTTACTTATTTCACTTGAATAAAAAGCAGTAGCTAGGGAGAAAATACAATAACAAAGAGAAATATTCTTAACAGTATTGATATTTGATAGTGGTTCGGGCTTATTTAGAGCCGCTGAAACGGTTGACCCTGATGATCTCTGTCTCACAGGTGCAATCGAGATCAAGAAATTGAATCTTCTAATGGATGGAAGACTTTAATACCTATGCAGCTTTGGATTTGTATATAGAAGAAGACTCTCTGGTCCATATCCATATTTCACCAAGAGGATGAAATTTCGTAATAATAGACAAATTTGGGATTAGTATTCCCAAAATAAGGGATGCGGGATCTTACCAAATAGGCGTGACCCCAATAAGAAACGAAAGTTATGCAACGAGTGTGAGAAAATTTTGTTGAGGGTGGATTGTTCTCATCTCCCACCTCTACAATGGCCCGAACTCATACCACCTTATCTTTCATCTTCGGTAAGGTTTATGGCCTGCTTTAAGTACTTACATCCCCTTTCATGCTATTTGATGTTTTATTTCACCAAAAACACCCTTGTCTTCCTCCATCAATTTCAATATAATATCTCCGACGACAAGGAGATAGGATATTGTCTTCGTCTTCTCTAGCGAAGGTAACCTTGTCTTCGTCTTCTCAGACGGCAAGGAGACAGGATTCTATTTCAGACGTCATTTACATTTTTTTTTTTTTTGCATTTTTTATCAAGAACATTTTTTCTTCCATGTGTTTCAGGTGCTTAGCGGACAAAGAGCATGGGTTCGTCTTTGGAGACTAGAGTTCTCATCCTCATCTTCTACAAAAGTCCGTTTTTATCCTCATCTTCTTCTCATATCTTCTCCATTTGCTAACCTTTTGCTATTGGGTTATCAAATCTAAAACCCTTTTTTTTGTTGCTATAAACCCCTGTTCATTGTATAGATCTACTAAATCGAAAGTGTTTTGTTACAGATCTAATATGAATTTAATTTTTTTCATGATTTATTTGTCCTAACAACATAAACTTCTCTTGCAAATCTGCTCTTTGATCTGCCAAATCTCATCAATCAAACGCTGAAAGCAGATTCTATAGGATAGTGGATCTCAACAAACAAACATAGTGACCAAAAATGAGAAAATAAAATTTTCCTTTCTCATCCCATCCCATCCCTTTTCATTCCACTATTTCTCGACAACCAAACAGACCCTAAAGATTATTTCAGTCTTTTTCATTCTAGTATTCCAGTGTCAAGACATAAGACCAAAGGGAAACAGTCGTGGTGTGGGCTGGGACTGGGAGCGTAGTAGAGATTCATCGGGCGGAAATCTCGGTACCATCCGCGACGGCGATAGTTGTGGGGGTAGGGCGAGGACCGAGGGGGGGGAAAGTGTGCTCACGGACCCCAAACCGTCAGATGTGGCGAGAGAGAGCAGTCGTCATCAGATGCTCGTGGTCGGAAATTCTCGACTTGGCCATGTACCAGAGGTCAGATCCTGGATGGGCCCCCAACAAGTTCCTATGGATGAGCCTCCCTACGGAATATATATAAAAGGGTCGGTGAAAAAGCAGAAGCCCACCCTCTCACCTTTCTTTCCCTACACATTGTATTATTATATCACTATTATTAGACAAAACAGCCTAGCCTGTCATGCATGTTTATACATGATACTACTTTTCTTTACACGTGGCAGGTTTAACGCTGTCAGCATATATGTCCCCTCTTTGATCAGGTGGCAATAATTTTTCACCTTAATATGTGGCATAAAATCTAAGGCTGATATTAAATCAAGTTTTGGAGTCTATTTGCCATGTTCATCATATATATTGGAAAGAAATGAAATTCATAATGGCGTATGGACAAAAAAAAAAAACACTAGGAATATAGCGCACATAGCTACTCCAACCAGGGCCCATAACTAAACTGGTATAGTTGGTTTGGAATAGCTTTTGCTAATCTTGTTTATAGCCATTGTTCTGGTTATACGTTTTATTTTATTTTATTTTTTTATTTTCTTGATTGCAAAGAAAATGAAAGAAAAAGAAGACCTGGAAGACAACAAGTTTTCCTCAATTTGGCCAACAATTGGAAACATAAATGAAAGAGCAAATTAAGGTTATGGTAGTCAACAAATTATTCTTGTTCATAGAGTTAAATGACTCAATACAATCTCCAATTTTGGATTAGCATGTCTGAGCTCAATTTATAGGATTATCATAATGTGTGGATGTGTATCAAAGTCTAATCTCTGCTCAACATGGGAAATCTGGCCTGTTCAGTGCCTGCTTGGGGGGACCCCGGATTTACCGAAAGCAAAACTCTGAGAACCAGTCATACATCAAGAATATCTCCTATACATGTATGTTAAGTTTTGGGGAGATGTTCCCAATGTGTCATTAGATGCTTGTGTTTTCAGAGTTTTTGCTTTCAAGAGATCTAATCTCGTTCGGGTGGATTGAAGTGCGGCAAGTTTCTAGCTTTCTGAGAAAGGCCCTACAAAGAAGCCTTTAAGGTATGTTTGGTTAAAAATCCAGAGAGCCCAAATCAGCTGTTAGTCATTTTTTGAGCTGTTCGCTTCAGCCTCTTTAGATAGTTTATCAGGAATATTTCAATGCAGCTGATTGTTTAGCTCAGCCCTCCCATACAGGCCCTCAATGAGCCAACTTAGCTCAATCCACTCATGAGCTCAAGCAAATGAGCTAAAGCAGGTAAGCAGAACCTAAGTTTATTAAGTTGTTTTTGTAATGCATGTGTTGTAAATAATTGATTTATTATTTACAATCAAGAAAGGGTACAGTGGAAAAAGGAAAAAGCTAAGAATCGTAAGTCTAAGGAGGTTCAAGAGATAGTGAATAGAAATATAAGGTTGTTTGGAGATCGTCAAGAACAAATAGTGCTCAGTTTGAAAAGAGTACAAATATAAATATGTGGGGTGCAAATCCTTGTATTTTGTGTTATTTTATATATGTATTTGTACTGCACATATTTTTATTTATACTCCTTTCAAACTGAGCCTGCTGTGATTGGTTGCAGTGCAACTAATGCAAAATTATGGTGGTGCAAATGATTTGGATGTAAATTCTGATTTATTTTTACTTTATATTATTTAATTGTGATATAAATAAAGTAACCTGAAGTAGAATAAAGTAAAACCCAAAATAAAATTAAATCAGAATTTGCATTCTATTCATTTGCACTCTCATGCATTTGTAATAGTACAAATAAAACTGTACTGCAACCAAAAACGCACCACCTCTTGTCTTTTTCTTTTATTATTCAAATGTTCAATAAAGACTTTTTCAATTAAAAAACAATAACTGATTTATTGAATGAACATTAATTTGGTCTTAATTTTTTTAAATTTATTTAATCTATGGGTTTCATAACTTCAAGTGACAGCCTTGTAGAGTTGCAGATTTTAGGGCATAGTAAAGCCAAATTAACCCGACACCTAGCTTCACCGAATCATGGCAAACTAATGCCGAGCAAAGGTAGTCCGACTACATTTGCACTCCTAGGGGCTAGGGAATAACAACCCATTGAATCATCATATTTTTCCTTCTGTTAGTTATACAGGGATTTCCTAAACATAAGTTTTAACATTGTTATATTTATTTAACCAACATCTAAGAGTACCCAAAGAAAAGCAACATCTAAAGAAATCCCCCCTTATTTTCAGTCGGTTAGTGTTGTGTGTTTCTTGCTGTGTTGTTGGGTGTCTGTTGTTGCGTTGTCTTGTGTTAACATCTTGCATTGTGTTGGTTTCTGTTTGAATACAATCCTTTATA